GTTCAGACGTGTGCTCTTCCGATCTCAAAATAATTTTGCGTGATTGTTATATCTTGAAGATAATGCCACTTAGGTTTTTTTATAATTTAACAACAGTTTTTTTTCAAAGTCATATTATAAATATATTTAAGATGATACAAAGGTCTCATTTTTTTCAATCTGATACAATTTTTTTCGAGGTATACAATGTCTAAATGATCACGACATATTCGATAATAATCCTGATAAGTTAAAAGCGCGAATAGCTAGTCAAAATTTAGTTTTGACTTTCGATGACTTTAATAATATGATCGTTATCGCCGAAATGTTTTGACCAAAGTAATTCGCACTTTCAACTTATCAGGATTACTATCAAAATGTGTCGCAATCACTCAGACATTGTGGGTGCGGATTTGACAAGTCACTATAAATGCTTTGAAGCATTTGATTGTTAATCTATCAAAAAAAAAAGAATTAAACAAACTGACCAATCAAGGAATGCTTTAAAGCATTTGTAGCATTTTTGCCCGTATCCTTATACACTACCGTGTTTCCTGATTGCCCTCTGCGTTTATAGTCAAAGACGGTAGTTTGATGCACGAGATCGATTTGGCTACTTAACCTTTAATGATCTTACCATCTATGATCATTGTATTCATGTTGAGATAGGCTACAATCGTAAGTATTCGATCTTATCTTTTTGGCGCCTCCATCTACAAAAAAAATCGAATAAATATTTAAATTTTAATTGAAAAATTTAAAATATATGAAGGTTATTGCACAACTAGAATTGTACATAAATAAATAAAAAAATTGTAAATATGTTTAATATGTAAAAATATAATTGTAAATATCTTATATTAAAATAGATTTTACTTTTGTACCAAAGTTTTGTGTAGATAAAAAAAATAAATATCATTAACGATTTATATTAATTATAATTCTTATAAATATGAAGAAATAAGATAATAATAGATTAAAAATTAAGAACATTTTCGAACTCAAAGACATTACAGATATAATTGCAATTACAAAGTGAAATTACAAACAATAAACATGATGAAATAGTAAAATTATCCTTAGTAAGTAAAAATAATCTATACTTAGATGTAAAACCAATTTAGCCAATAAATATACATTTTTATTAATAAAGACATTAGAAACAAAATACACAAAAGTAACAAAAAAAATAGAATATACTTAATGAGCAATTTAAGTACTTAGATATTTTTAAAAACATTTATATATTTATTTTAAATGAATTTAAATTATATTAATGTTTAAATAGAAAAATATTTGTAATATTTGAATTTATTTTGAACTTACTTTTTAATATTAATTGTAGTAAGACTACTTTATAATATTAATTGTAATAAGAATTGTAATGAAAACATTTTATTTTGCCTATTTAAATAATACAAATGAATTATTTCATTTTTAAACCTTCAAATGGTTCAAGAGTGCGAATTCGCACGGCGAAAATTTTCGAATTGCTAGCATTTGCACAGAGATATTCGTCGCAGCTTATCCCCACTACGTTAAATATGCCCGGTACCTCAAGTGACAAATACGAACATGTACTGCTATTTCGTGCAGATTAACGAAATATTAACTTCGCAAGTTCGTTGTGATGCATATTCGCACTCGTATTCAAATAGTGTGTGCCAGATCAGTGCATACTTTTAGCGTTTTACACATTTATAAAAATTGTAATATGTTCCTTTTTTTACATTACGTTATAAACATTGTAATATGTTCCCTTTTTTTACATTACAATAACAAATAAAACATTTGTATGTATAATCTTATTCTATCTATTTTCTCTGTCTTAACTTCCAAGATAATAAACAGTACTTTTTAAAATAATTTTAATAATGTAAACGGTTTTTATTAATAATTCATTTTATAAATTGGCAAGATTTG